TCTCTTTAGTGCTGGCCATTTCCCTTTAAGGAGGCTTCTGTGCCTAGAATTGGGAGTGTGGGGCCTCAATATAGAGTCAGGTATGAGAATTCCCATGTTAAGAGGTGAGATTGAATGTGAGGTGGGGAGACGTGGCCTGGTGTTCTGGATAAAAAGCAAACTGTCTGTCGGCTGACGCTTCCACTTGCTACTGAATCTGACTCAGTATCTTTTTCCTCAGTGTAGTTCCTCCTCTAGTTTAAGTAAATTAAATGAGATGACACTATCAATCAAGGGTTAATATTAATAAAGGTTTTGAAAATAAAGTTGTTGTCTTATTATGATATTATTGGAGATCGGGGGTAGAGAACAGCCTTGAACTGGAAAATGAGAAACCTAACTTTCAGGTTCTTTACAAAGAGACAAAATGAAGAGACTCATGTTTGATAGTACTGGCAAATGTTCTAGAAAGTTCCCCAAACACCCCCACCAGACATTTCAGAACTGATTTACCACCAACAGATGGGTGGGTCCGACCGAGAGTGATTATGAGGAATTCCTAATCTACATATTGTTTTCTCAGTTAGTCCACACCCTGATGAGGGAGACCTCAAAAAGCTCTGACGTCAAAAGGCCTGCCTCCTGAAAACGGTTGAGAATTACATGGAGGGGGACTGAGGTTTCCTATCTTCCTTGTTTTTACCAATTTACTACTTAAATGTGGCTTAAAATTTAATACTAGGGGACAAAATATACATTGAGCATAATTACTACGTGCTAGAAAGATCTATGTCTTGGCAATTGAGATTTTGGGGGGAAATAAAAAAGCTGATAATATCATTAATTCTGCTAAGTAAAATCCATAAAGGGGGAAAATGCATGTCAGTATAGTGTCAGGTGCAAAATGATCACAGTAGCAACTCTGATCGTGGAATGACAGTGGGGTGCAGAGGAAAGAACCAGTTTTCTAGAGTCTTAAGACCCAGAATCAAGTCCAGCAATTCTACTTACTAGCTCTGTAACTTTGGACAAGCCCAAGGTCATGTCCTCATTTGGAAAAATAACAATATAACAATATTAAATAACAATATAAATGCTTTCAAGATTGTGGGGCTCCAATCGGTTGATGGACGTAGAAGTGCTTTATCAACTAGGAGTTAAAGAAATGTTACCTGTTGCCATGATTGTAACAACTGAGGTTTTTCAGTTTTTACTGCAGTTTTACTCATACATAACTGTCCATTTCGTTTTTGGTAACTGTTGCACTTCAGGGTCGTGGCCACCGAAGAGCCAGAAACGCTGTGATGCACTTGTCCTGAATCAGAAGATGACTTATCTGACCTCTATACTGCAACTGTGAATTTCCCACTTCTCTTTCCTCTCAGTTTTACAAGTCTACGATTTCATTTCAGCTTCAGCTGAGGGAAATTACCACAGATTTCAACACCTTCTCTTTCCAAGTTCTTTTTTTTTCTGTTACATGAGGCAAAGGCTGAAAGGGAATTATGCAAAGTTTCTCTGCTCTGAAAGTATCAAATTTCCTTTGTAAAGGGATAACTTTCCCTTTTCAGCACAAAAAGCAGAAAATCGCTTAATTTAATACAAGAAAAGCACTGGGTAAAGCTGCTTCCTCTGGGATTTCCTAATCTCCTTTCAATGAAGAGGAAGGTGAGTGGACTGAGAGATGGGTTGGAGAGTGAGGGTTACACTTGGGCCCAGAAGAGCCTTTTAGAACTCATCCTGAGACAGGAAGTGATGAAATCAGCTCTCACATGAACTGAGAGGCTGTCATGTGTACTCACCCCGCTTCCTGTCTCGACTGGCAAAGGAGGAGAATGGTAAGGGGAAAGCGGAGCATGGGGAAGTAGGTCATGGGGGGAGGGAAGAGGCGGCCAGATGAGAGGCTATGGGAACAGTCCTGACACTGCCCCTCACCCGCTTCCTTAGTCTTTGGGGGCCGGGATAAGTAAAGTGGTTTATTTCTAGTCTAAATCTTCCATTGTGAATTGAACTATATCCTTTGTGAACACTCAATTTCCCAACTCTTTGATGCTACTGACAATGCTAATGGCAGAAAGTATAAACATTTCATAGCCTACTAATTGTTTAGAGTTCAAATACAAAATGGACTTATACAGTTCTTCTTCCTCTTTACCTATCTCCACTCTAAATAGTTAGGCCGAGAAACGGCACAGGAAAGGCTGTATTATCGCCTATCTGGGCACCAGGTACCCTCTTACTGCCTTGAGACAGCTTAATCGATATTTGCTATCCTCATGTTATTCACGATGGCAAAGTGGCAAAGTTAATTGCTGGCCCATGATAAGGAAAAGGAGAAAAATTTCAGAGATGACTTTCTTTGTATAGAGAGATCATTTCAAAAACGTACGTGAAGGAGAAGAGGGGCGTTGGGTATACCAGTCATAAAGGGAATGGACGGTATGTACCACAGCGGGACCAGTTGTTGGGTGTGGTTAACAGAAAGCAGATGTGTAAGGCGTGTGATCTCAGACTGAGGGTCAGGCCCCCTCCTCATACTAGCGACATTACAATAAGAAAAGCCGCAAGCAAATGAAGCAGGTGATGATGGGCGAGGCAACAGGTGGTCCCACCAGCTCCACCTTGAGGGAAGGACGGGGGAAGAGTCTGGGTGAACAAAGATGAACTCAAAAGGAAATGGTTTTGTGCCGAATCCATTTGCTTAGGGACTTCCTGGGTGCTGCTGACTGCTGACTGCTGACTCTCCCGCTGACACCTGACACTCCATGCACTTAAACTAGATGGTCAGTCCACCAATTCTACCCAGTCTTCACTGCTAGGAAGGAAACCCTGAGACGGAACCAGCATGAGCTAGATTTGGTTCACTGGCTTAGATAGAGACCAGTGATAGTGGCCTTGATTGCCCTCAGCCCCTCCTGGAACCTACAATTTGAAAGTCATGGTCAATGCCAGGCTCTGTGCTAATTTACTTTGCAAGCTATAAACGTTTAGAAAACAACTTCTCTCCCAAACTCCTTTCTAAGTTGGAAAAAAGTTACCTTCTGTAGTAATAATAGTAATTTACAAGGTTAAAGGATACACAGACCTTGACTTAAAACTTTGACTATGTCAAGATAATAAGGTTTTATGAGATAAGCTATGCAAAGTCAAATACGAAGTACCCCTGTGACAAAATTAAGTCCTTCTTCAGGTATAGTACATACCCCGATGAGCGTAATTTCTACCCTACAGAATTGTAGGCACAGGTCAGCCCCTCAGGCAGACTGGAACGGCTATAACCACTCAGGTGTCCAGGCCACATGCTGTACTTTTCTATATCCCCATCAGCTCCTTTCCCTTTCTGAGGAGCAGGTGTGACAAACCTTTACTACACTCCTCAACTTTCTCATTCAACTGGGGACGCCCAAATCACCAACCTCATTTAGCCGTGTCCCATGTGACACAAGTTTATCAGACTTCTGCTTTCTCTAGTTTCTGACTCCCCCTCCACCCAGGATCTAGAGCTGCATCCGTCTAAGTCGTCTTTCTTCTTCCTGCAGAGCAATGGTTTTCGAACTGTGGTCCTGGGACCCTTGCAGTCCCGTAGAGCCTCTCGGGAACCAGCCTGGAGACTCTGAGGGGTTAAAAAGTCAGGGCAGGTCGACTCTTCCCTTCTTCCCCTTCTTCCGTTTCCGCTGCAGCAATTCTGCTTCTCTCCACGTCAGATGCTGGAGTTCCAGAGGACATCTGAATACTCAGATAAGGAACCTACTAAACTTGCCTAGGTCTGGTAGATGAGATAAGGGCTGAGAGGGATGACTTCATCACACACCTTTACTGGAGTGACAGGTACTGTCATCCCCAAGATTTCTCAGCTTCTACCGGCAGGCTCTGATGTGCTCATGTCCCTACCACCTCGTTTGATTTGACTCGCAATAACATCCCCATAAAGCAGGCATTGTCAGTCCCACTTGACAGATGAATAAACCAACCCAAAGCGGCAAATAACTTCCTGGAAGTGGCACGGCTGCTGAGTGTCGGAGCCACGACACAAACGCCAGTCTTCAGGTGCTGTAATCCAGCTCTGCCCACCACACTCTACTGCAGAGTATATGTTCTGATCCTACTTGACTTGAATGGACTCATTCTTTCCTTTGATCTCATCTCCCAAGGCCATATCAATTTCCTAACTAAAAGAGGGTCTGAGGGAAGGAACGGGAGTAAGAAATGAAGATCATAAAAACCACTCTTTCTTAGAACTTGTAGGAATCTCTTACAAGGGTTTTATGGCACATAGCCTTCCTAACGTGAACCACCCATGGCCAATACTGAGAAACAAGCAAATTACTGAACACAACTAATGAATACAATAAACCTATTCAAAGTTAGTAGCTGGCATCATTCAAATGTGCATTTCCTTGATATACCAGGCACATTGCTGTGTTTCTGGCTAACTTCCCTCTACTCTTAAATACATTTCTGGAAATGTGTGATTCCAACATAAACAAACTTGCAACTTGTAAGCTAGTTCTAGAAATATTATAAATGAATACATCTCAATCCTAAAGACATATCCAACAGGAAGGACTGAAAGGGGGTAGAGTAGAAAAAGGAATATTGTTTCTCTGTTTTCAAGAACACTGAGCACTTAAAATATCAGTACATTAGTTTAGTAACGTGAATACCATACATGCATCAATACATGCATCGTTAGAAGGTGCCGTGCTTACACTGCCTGGAATTGCTTCTACAAAATGCAGCGCAAAGTGATCAATTTGGCTGCATTTTCTTCTATCACTTGTGCAGAAATAAACACAAGTATAAAGAGATGGACTTGTATTAAAGAAGATGACACCCAGGTCCAAACTCAACACATGCACTCACATTCTGTGTGAAACACCCAGTACTGTCTCTAAGGAAGTATACGCATAATCACTACTGGGAAACAGAAATGTCGTCTCCTGAAACAACAATTTCATCATGAATCTGAAGCAGGGAGGGCTTCGGAAATTTACATGAATACTGGCTTTTTCATACTTCACCTGAGCAGAAAAGTCGATTAGCTTGGGGAGCAGCACTTTGCCCCCTTCATCACTCTTCAGGAAATCCAGCAAACTGCCTGTTGACAGATGAAGAACAAATTAGTGTAGTTCAAACACAAAAGAAAAAAATCCAAATAAAATTCAAATCATCATTACCATGGAGGGAAGAATTCCATGAAATGACTGGCTTTGCAATTCTGTATGGTCATAGTGCCTTTTCCTGATGTTGGTTAAAGCCAGTCCCCTCTAACCTGTTACCTTTGACCTGACATGAAATGTACCTGTGCTCCAGGTAAGAAAGGGTGATGGTGGACAATCCTTTTCTTGCTACAGGTGTCTGAGAGCAATGCATTTCAGAGCTTTGTACTTGCCACCAAGGTACACTTACTGCAGCCACTTGGTCTTCAGAGCTTCTCTGAGACAGAAACCAGCAGGCCATCATAGCAAGCCTGCCCTGACCAGCTAGACAGCTGGGTTGGCTTTGTCTGTGTCCGGGAAAAGCACAGAACTAGGCACATGCCCTAGGTGCTCAAGGAGTAACTGATGAACAAACTGTGCTTGGAAAAAAGTTACGCCTACGTAAAAGGGAATGTGCCCACAGAAAACTCTCCTGCTTCCTCTGGCTTCATTTCTAAAACAAGACCTGCTTTTCTCCTTAGAACTTAAAGTGCTGACCTGAGGACAGGCTTGGCAAGCTACTTACCTGGTCTAAGTCCCTGTAAAGTAGGCACATCCCAGTAGCTATATCAGTCCTTGTGAGGACGGATTAAAGCACGTGCTTGGCAGGTAATTAGTGCTCAATAAATATTCTGCTACCTCGTCTACAGCATGGAACAGAGTACTAAGCCCTCAGATTGCTGAAAAGATTGAGCGAGATCACCCGGGGGAGGTGTTAAGAACAGTAGTATATAGTAAATGCTCAGTAAAGTCAGGCATTATCAGGAGAAACTCATATTTACATTTATGATTAAGAATACTAGTAGTTAATTAATTTGACTAGTATTTACTGAACTCCTATTAAGTGTGTAATCCTAAAACTGGTTTCTGAGCTACAACAACCTAAGCCATAGGGGCTAGGTTTTTTCTTTTTCTTTCTTTCTTTCCTCCTTTCTTTTCTTTCTTTTCTTTATTGTTTCTTTTTTCTTTCTTTCTTTCTTTCTTTTTCTTTCTTTCTTTCTTTCTTTCTTTCTTTCTTTCTTTCTTTCTTTCTTTCTTTCTTTCTTTCTTTCTTTCTTTCTCTCTCTCTCTCTCTCTCTCTCTTTCTTTCTCTCTCTCTCTTTTTCCTTCCTTCCTTCCTTCCTTCCTTCCTTCCTTTCTTTCTTTCTTTCTTTCTTCCTTTCTTTCTTTCTTTCTCTTTCTTTCTCTCTCTCTCCTTCCTTCCTTCCTTCCTTCCTCCCTCCCTCCTTTCTTTCTTTTCTTTTTCTTTTTTTTCCCCCTTTTTAAAATTATGTCCTTTTTTAGAAGGAATCTGAGAGATTAATATTCTGGAGTATTAACACATATTAAGAAACTATTCATCTTTCTAACCTATTCAGCTATGACATCACACTATAATCTCCATTATGTATGAAATGGTAGTTAATTCTGGATTACTGCTTATGTTTCTTTTCTACCTTCATTCCTTCTGAAGATTTTTTAAAAATCTTACTAGTATCTCTGGAACTGGAGGAAGAAGGATGACGATTCAAACCCTTTTATCTGATGGTGAAAACAACACGAGAAAAGATGGTTGCTTGAAACCTCTTCTGTGATTCTATGATTACGTAGGATTTCAACCTCGACAAGTTTTAAAAATGTTAATGTTTTAAAGTGACACCCTAAATGTTTAAATAATGCTAAAGAGGAAAACAAACTAGTTTTAGGATTTTGAAAACTCATATTTTAAATATATAATAAAAATACTCTTATTTAAAATATATATTTATTTACTCGACAAGTATTTATTGGTAGCCTACTAGGTATTGGGCACTGCTTTGGGGGCTAATATAAATACAGAGGTAAATGCACAGAAAATAGGAAAACTATATATTAATTTTATAACATGGATTACTTACAAGGGGGTGGTTTATGAAAATGCTTTGTTTTCCCATATTTTCTGATCTTTTGGTGGTGAGCATACTGTTTTACAATTAAAATTGTTTGAGTATTACCTGAACATTTAGACATGTTACTTCTTGGGATTAAGCCTTTTAACAGCACTGGGCTTGGGGGGGTGCCTCACCCTTGGCCATGTACTCCGTGATGATGTAGATGGGTTCCTCTTTGGTGACCACTGCGTACAGCCTCACCAGCTTGTCGTGCTGCAGGGTCTTCATGAGGTTTGCTTCTTCCAGAAATGCTTGCACAGACATAGTGCCTGGTTTCAGGGTTTTTACAGCCACTTTGGTGCTATTGTGATAGTAACCTAAGAAGAAAGAAGAAGGGAGGACTTGCTTTACCACATGGAAAATCCAAAAACTTCACGCGGAGTTAGAAGAAAATTGTGTTACAGATAGAAAACAACTTACATAAAATTCTATATAGTGTTAACATTAGGGAAGGCTGAGTAAAGGATATATAGAAATTGTCTGAACCACTTTTATAAACAAATTTAAAATTATTCCAATAGCTAAAGTTTTAATAAAGCAATAGTTTTTTTAAAAAAAAAATCTGTTGTATTCCATCATGGGAACTAAGATTTTCCTCTAATTAATAAAGTGTTCTTTATCCAAGACAGGAAAAAAACAACCACCACAGCTTTATGTACTTTTGCACACACGCACATATACACACACACAGACAACAGTCTGGAAGAAAATACACCAAAATATACCAAATACCGGCTATCTGCAATGGTGGAATAATGGTAGTTTTAATTTTGTTCACCTTTAACTACTTAACAAATATTCTATGGTGAATATGTATTATTTTTACAATCAGAAAAAAAGCTTTGCACTTAAAAATTATTTGTCTACGTTAACTTTAAAGTATGATATACTGAAATCAAATGAGCATTTCCCAAAGTTTCCAAAGAGAACGGGACTTGGATGATTCTCCATGGACAGAGGGCTCTGTGCCGAGGCCTGGGAACCACTGCCTGCCGGCGCACCCTCGCCCGCCCCCCACGCCCAGCAGAGGCAGCAGAAGCATCAAGAGCCCTTCAGTGAAGAAACCCGTCTGACTTGGCTAACCTCAGCATTTCCCACACTTTCTTGACCACGGAACACTTTTTCATGCACCTTTCCACACCCTCTGGAACACGCTTCGGGAAATACTGACGCAGCATGGTTCCCCCACGGCACCACTTTTCTGGGACCTGCCTCAATCATGTGCTAAATTCTGAGTCTGGTTTTCCTCTGAGAGAGCCTTTCCTCATTGGTTTTTGCAAAGCAGAAATATACATAATCAAATTCTCCTTTGCTTTCCGCTGTTTTTCTTGGAAGTGAGAAACATAAAACAGGGTGGGCAGAGAGTGGCATTTTGTCACCACCAGGAACCTCCCTGAAGATTACCTCTACCCGGTGTGTTACAGCTTTATAGTAGCTGCGCTAAGAAAAAATGCTGATGTATAGTGTCTGGTCCCCCTTCTTAGGTCACACAGTAATCTGGGTATGTATAGCATAGAGAGATGACTGGAATGTGCTCAGTGAGACATCAACAATGATGGTCTCTGAATGGTTGAATTTGGGGTGACTTTTACATTCTTTTGTTTTTTTTCTATTTTGATTAAATTTGTGAATGAATACAGCCATCCCTCTTATCTGTGGTTTGCTTTCTGAAGTTTCAGGTACCCACGGTCAACTGAGGTCTAAAAATGTGACATAGAAAATTCCAGAAATTAACCATTGATAAGTTTAAAATTGTGCGCTGTTCTAGTAGACTGATGAAATCTCACATTGTCCCCTTGTTCACCCCGATGTGACTCGTCCCTTTGTCCAGCAGCCCCACGCTGTAGACATTCCTCGCCCATTAGTCACTTAGTAACCATCTTGGTTATCGGATCAGCTGTCAATTGTATGGCAGTGCTTGCGTCCAAGTCACCCTTATTTTACTTAATAATGGCCCCAAGTGCAAGAGTAGTGATGTTGGCAATTCCAATATGCCAAGGAGAAGCTGTCAGGTGCTTTCTGTAAGTGAAAAGATGTGTGCATATAGGAAAAAACGTAGTATGTGTAGGGTCTGGTACTATCTGCGGTTCAGGCATCTCCTGTGGGTAAAGGAGGACTACCATGTGTGTCATTTTTTTTTTACAAAAGTAATTATTTTTAAAAATAAAATAATTGTGTTTCTATTTCTATATCTTCAAATGGGCAAGAAAAAGTATTAGTTTATAGCTAACAGTCAATCCTAGTAAATATTTTCTCTTCTGATCATTAACACTGATTCTCTGTTAAAACTTTTCCTTTTATACTTCACTTTGATTTGTACCTAGTAGTAGCTTGTACTCCAGCAAAACGAAGAATACAGTATACAAAATAAAATAAGCGTTAGAACATATGAATAAGAAAACTGGCAAAATACTGTCCTAGCTCATTTTTAAAAGCCACAAACTACACAAAATAATGAGATCGTGAATAAATTAAATTGATTTTCTATCTAAATGCATAATTATAAACAATACAACCTTTCCTATGGCTCTTAAGAGTAAATTTAAAGTAAATTTCACCACCAAAAGTCTTTTAATATTACATTTTAATCAAGAAGATTCCATCGTAAATTTGTTTAAAAGTTTATAAACAGGTCCTCAGTTACATGAATATATCTGTGGCAAAGCAAAGCAAAAAATACACTCTCTTTGATAAATGTAATTGACAAAGACTAGTATTCAGCATATATAAAGAATTCCTACAAATCAATAAGAAAAATAGAAAATAGGCAAAGGCTTGGATGAACATTTCAAAGAAAAAATCCAAATGACTAATACACATGTGAAAGGAATTCAATCTTATTAGTAATCACAGAAATGCAAATAAAGCCATTGGGAGAAACCACCACCCACTTGACAAAAAGCAGAAGCACATGCCCCTTGCTAGGGAAACTGGCAGCTCCCACTGGCCCTTTTCTGTACTTTTTTTGAGCATCACTGAAATTCATCTCTAAAGCTTCTGGCTTTAAGAATATTCCCAAGGGGCCCATGAAGACTATTGACAGAGTAGCCTCCATTTAAGTGCAATTATCTTGAGTGAACACAAACACACACACACACACAGGCCGTGCTCTTGTATGTTGCTAGTGAGGGTCTAAACTGGGACAAGCACTTGGGAAACTAAGCTGGCAGTATTTAGCAGACTTGAAGATTCAGACTCCTATGATCTAGCAAACCCAGCCCTGGTCACCCTAGATGAACTCATGTACCCTTGGCAGCAGCACAGAAATGTTTATAGCAGCCAAAACCAGAGAAGCACTCCATTCCATCAATAAATAGTGAAATCACTGAATAAACTGTTATACATCTTGAATATAAATTCAACACCATACTATATATAAAATGAGGATGAATAAACTTTGCTACATCCTACACATAAATGAATGACTCTCACAAGCATAATGCTGACTAAAAAGAGGCAAGACATAATAAAAGAGTACATTTGGTCTGACTCATTTATACAAAGTTCAAAAAACAGGCAAAACTAAATTCTATTGTTTGGGGATGTACACCCCCACATACAAAAGTAGCAGAACTGTAAAGAAAAGCCAGGACATGATCACAAAGGCCAGAAGAGCAGCTGCCTTTGGGGGACAGGCGTGGTTGTGACTGGAAATGGATAAGTGGGGGCTTCTGGGTGCTGGCAAGTTTCCACTGCGTGATCTCAGTGGTCACCGCACAGGTGTTCATTTTGTAATTATTTGTGGTGTTGAATATTTGTCTTGTAAGCACTTTTCTGTCTGCTTGTTATATTACATACAATAAAAGCGAAAGAACCAAAATGATTCTCCTTTAGTCTTAAAAGCAATGTAACTCTTTGAGGCATTTACATAACACAAAATTATGGGTAAAGGATGAAAAAAATGCTTTCCAAGGGTAGGGGGGGAAAGTTATCAGGAAATACTGCAGCTGCTAAAGATATTTAAAATGCTGATAAGAAGTTCGAGAGGAGCAGTGACTAAAACAGCTGTGTCAAACAGCCCAAGAAGTGGAAGCAGCTTTCACTTAATGGTGTCTTAGGGCCGTGACATTTAAACAATAGGGCAGATTTTCATCATGATTTTCATTCAGGACTAAGGACAAAATTGTACTTCCCAGTAATATGCAGGTTCAATTCACCCAGTCGCGGAGATTTTGGTTCGCATTACAGATGAAAAATGATTTTAGAAAACCTTTGGAAGATAGTAAAGTTTTCCCGTGGGGTGCAACTTTACCGCAGTAAAGAAAACTGGTATGAAGATCTGAGCTCAAACTGAGCAAGTCTGACTACCTTGCTAAAAACCACCTAGGGAGAATGGGTTTAAAAAAAAGATGTATGTAGTTGATTTTGGAAGTTGGCTGGTCATTAATTTCAATGCTATTGGCTCAAATGAAAATGTATCAAGCAAAATTCAATTCACAATAAGTTTCCTTTCTTCCACAAAGTCTCTTCATAGACCAAGTGGTAACAGGAAACATCATCCTCGGCCTCACAGATCAGTCAGTTCCCTGGGAGTCCCACAATCCATGGAGGAAAACATGTCACCATGCCAGATGTCAAGAGGATCACACCAAGAGGAAACAGCTTGAGGAAGAAACTCCTCTTTCTTTTATCCCTATCTATCCCCTCCTACCCTGCCCCCTGCCCCCTGCCCCAGGACAGGTCACTTCCTAGTATTTGTTCACTGATTTCAGATCAAAATAATTCAAACCATAAAATGTGACTGGTGAGAGAAACTAGCCTGCTAATCCTTAAGAAATATAACTTTTGGCAGCTCTAAACTGCACAGACTTTGCTATTATACCAGCCCCCAGACAGTCAGATGGATGCACAAACACACATGGGAGAGGGGCAACCTTTAACCTCTAATTTGTAGCATAACATCACTAATCATTATTTTTTTGTTTTATTCCCAGTATTCCTCTGCTAAATGCATTCAGCATATTGACGTGGATAGCTAAGGAGAAGCTCCCTGACGGACAGCCAAATTCACAGAACCGTATCTGCAAAAGGTCCCAGATCAAATTTAAAAATTTTTTTATTTTCTCTTCTTTCTTCCTTCTCCCTCCCCTCCCCTCCCTTTCTCCTTCACTCCATTCTTCCATCCCTCATTCCCTTCTCTTCTTTCCTTTCAATACAAGACTAGAAGGAGAAAAGCATAATTAAAAAAAAAAAAACAATGTCAATATCTGGACAGTGATATTGTATTATAGTTTTGCAAGATGTTGGGGTAAACAGGGGAAAGGTTACATGGGATCTGTTTGTATTGTTTTACACACACACACACACACACATATGT